ATGGTCAGTGAGCATGAAACATTTTGTTTCAATTAAGACTTTCATCAAGATTTTACATCCGTTGATCGCAAGTCTCATGAGCATAGCGACATGAGAGGGTATCCTCAGCACAAAATTACGACTCGTAATTGCATAGTTCTTCTACTGTATTTTCGACCAAGTGAACTCGATGACGTCTGCTTTTTCACATACTTATGCAGTACTTCTTTCTCTTACCCCCCCCCCCCCCCCCCCCCCCCCACACACACACCTTATGGCTTATGCCTTCAGGGTGGATATCAGGCACGATATATCAACATATTCTGCTATGAAAAACACTGACGTTGAATGTCAGAGTGGGAAAGGTTTTTGAGAACATTCGAGCAAAGAAATGAATAGCCAACCATGATTGCCGATGTCTGTTTCAAACCTTGCACTTCATGACAATAATAGCCCTGGCATTTTAAAAAAGCCAAAATTTTACAGAGATCAGGTGCTATTCGTAAATTTGTAGGCTAGATCTATAAAGGATTTCGTTTAGTTTGACCTGGGTAGGTCAGTTGGACGATTCCATCTCTTAAATAATCTAAAGTGTGTCAATGGGAGGTTAAAAAAACAACAACCAATGAACAGATTCCAAAATTCCAAAGATAAGAATAAAAATGAGGACTACAGGGGGAAAACGACGGTAGTCACAAACTGAAAATCGTGAGGGTACCAATTTTGAAACTGTTGGTTAATTATTGTTGTTAGATTTCCCTTTCAACACTTAACAATAAACCACCAGTCAAACAAATATGAAGTTACGAGTACTCATGCTTTTAAAATTGGCACCCTCACAATTTCCAGTTTGTGAATACCGTCGTTTTTCCTATCTAGTCTTCAAATATAAGGTCATTTAGCGAGATTTGCAGGAAATATGAAGCCATAAACTGTTGCGAAAGATGTTGATGTATGACAATTTTGGTGTGTCATTGAACTGGGAACGCTAACCGTGACATTAGCAGCGATAACACAGGAAAGAAACAACAAAATCATAAACAACTGCGGGTTCCAACTGTATTTAGTTCAGATTGCTACTAAAAAAATCAAGGAATAGGAATCTAGCTATACATTCACGATTCTTTTGATACGGAAAAACATGACTTACTAAATGTACTTAGTATCAATCTCTCTCTCTCTCTCTCTCT